GAAAAAGATGAAAATATGGAACTAAAAAAGTTTTTGATCAGAGAGATTACGGAATGATGCTTGAGAGTGAGGTCAGTCGCAGGAGAAGTGTCAAATAAGTTTGTAGTCGCTGCTCCGTTACTGCAGACTATCGTATTTATAGCTTGTCATTTGAAGCATGGGTTTTTTTATCTTGCCTATCTCCTTTTCAGTCGTCGAGATTCGTATGAGTGGTTGTTGTATTCCGCCTGTTCTCAGGTAAAGAGGGAGTTTGCTACATTTTATACGCGCTATGCATATGGGAAGTCAGAAGGATAATTATCGTTACGGACTCCTCTGTAAATCGTTTTAAAAAGCAAAATAAACATGTTTTGTCCATTGAATGGCAGTACTTGGGCAGGTGCCCATGTTTCTTTGGGGTCTATTATGCTTGTATTGATCTTGCAAAATAAGAAAATACTTTACCTGAATAAACATTCTTCTTTTGTTTGGAAAATAAGTCTAATCATCATAAAGTATACCATAATAGAAGTCAATCCTGAATGGCGAATACTGTTCTTGGGAATTACTCCTAAATCTACCCCTCTTCTTTGTCATACGATTCGATGTATATAGCAGAACCGAGCAAAAGCCACTCACCTGCTTCAAATATCATAACACATACTGTGTTCTGCCAGTGTGAAAGGTCTTGGGCAAAAAGTTTGTCCTGCTCCCGTTCCAGCTGGCTGCTAGCCACACTGCGCTTTCAGTGCTTCCCCTTGCTACCCCCAAACAATGAGACTAATTCTCGTGGTGCTCTATTTTGGATACCTACACTTGGTGCCAGTTGGGTGGCTGGGGGTTTGAGTAGGGTGGGCTGTGGTTGAGGTCTCTACCGTGTCTTTCTTTGCTGCCCGTGTTTGACTTTCGACCGAGAACAACCTCTTCAATATATGCCTGCAAGTTAAACATTCTGTAGCCATGTATTCTCACCTCGCCTCCGTTTTTGTGTCATTGTAGCATAGCGTTTTACGATAGCGTTACGAGCTTCTGGTTTGTAGCGTTTGCACGGTGTCGGATGACACGGCTTTCGTCTGTCAGTTACTAGACGTGTTGCCTCAAATGCGGAAAATAACATCGATTAGACAAGCAAGAAACCTACTAAGTTCATTTCAGAATGTAGCTTGTCTTTTAATTGTGCCAAAAGTTGAGTTTACGAAAGCGGGGCTTTTGCCACGAGTCAAACTCAATTGATATTTTAAGAAGGTTAATGTCATCGGGTCAAATGTTTAGAGATCTTTATCGAAGGGAATAGCATACCCGCACCATCTGGCATTTCTGCTTCACTATAGTTGGTTGTTTGGGGGGAGGTGTTGTTGTTTTTTTCTAGCCGAAAAGGAAGAGTAAAACTGTTTTGGGAAAACTTTATATCACTCTCCTCTTTCCCATCTCCACCTCCCCCACCTTTCTCTCTCTCTCTCTCTCTCT